ACACCCCCCCCCCCCCCCTCTCACACCACCCTTCCACTGCCACCACTCATCCGCTGCATACCGCGTGGCGTCGCGCCGAGTATCACCAGGACCACGAGGATCACGACACGCACGACACCCCATGATTTCATCGAATTCATGTGTCTCGTCGCCTTGCTCATGACGCGAGAATGCGAAGAAAAGACACAGTGTCGAACTGAGGGAGAAGTACAATTGTTTCACAGCGACCCGAACACTTGCCACCTTCGCTCCTCCCCGAGGAATCATGAAGAGAAGACGCTAACATATCTCACTTGAACTCCTTTCGCCGCACCTATTCATGCACGTTTCTCGCCATGAAGTGAAAGTTTCTCGTTTTTTTTGTCACGTCATTCATTATAGGGGGGGATGCGGACAAAACAGTGTCGCCCGCTTCCACGAGGGAATGATCGAGCAGAAAGGAGGAAGAACGCTGGCTATCCTACGGACTTCCTGGGTTCATGCTACTGCTCGATCTGGTGGGAGTGTGGCATGTTTTTGCACGAGACGGTGAGGAATTCTCTCTCCCTCATGCGACCTCTTTCTCCTGTGTGTGCGGGTGGTTGATAAGTCTTTGTCTGTGCTGTGGCGTGTGCGAGACATATGAGGTGCTTTGTGGTACGGCGTCTCTTTCGCAAATCGATGAATGGCATGGAAGGTGAGACGACTGAAGTGAAGACACCGACTGAGACCGATGGAAATCAGATGCTCTGACGCCGCCAGGCGGCATTAAAGGAAAAGCCTCACCAAAGAGAAGACAGGCGGGGAAAGTGAGAAAGCAAAGGGACCCTTCTCAAACACCGTACATTCGCACGCATTCGGTCGATGCCGATCGCCAACCGAACCACCACCCTAGCTGCACCCCAGGTGGACGGGAATATGTCGGTCATGCCAGCTCATGGTGCACCGAAATGCTGACACACACAACAGACAGACAGACAGACAGACAGACCCGAACCAGCTACACCACGTACCACTAGAGCGTCTATTTTTCGGTCTGTCGCCAGCTGATCCTCCGTAGATTATTCGCCTGCCTATCTGCCCATCCCGTCTGTCCGTCCGTCCGTCCGTCTATCTATCTGAGGCAATAGGTGGATTGATTGCTTTCATTAGTATGAGGTCTTTGCCACCATGAGCAGTCCGTCACCCACACGGCAACGAATGCCTATAATCGATCACTTGAGCAATGGCCTAAATGGCCCAAAATTACAGCAAGCAATCCCTTAATGGAGATAACGTGAGATAAGCAGAACACCCTCAAACCAACTCCGCAGCGCATGCAATACATAGCATAACTTACTCCTTGAAATAGCCCCTTCCTTACTGAAACAGCTTACTTACACAGAGGAAAAAGATACACAGGTACGTCCAGGTCAGAACGAGAAGACGTCCGCGGCCATGCCGATCGAATCAATGTTCAACCCCCTGAGCAGACAACACGCAGTGTTTGCTGGCGTAAATAAAGTCCTGGCACATAAGCAACCCTTTTGCTTACGCGAATCCCAGGATGCCACGCGTGAGCTCCTGCGTGTCGGTGATGGCCTGAAGCTGGATTGTGAGCTCATGGAGTGAGAGAGCATGGACGTGGGTGAAGTCGAACCTGACCGAATCATATAGATAGATATGACAGATAGATGGCATCCCTCATGCGCACGGATCGCGTGGGCGGGCGGTCGCCGTCTGCCTTGTGTCGCTCGCTTACCAGTGGGGCATCATCCAAACGATCCAGTCGCAGAAGCCAATACGCAGGATGGCCGTGAGCAGCAGAGACAGCAGCATGAACATCAGCAGCGGCTGAAGGATGAATGTGTTCAGGAACTCAACTGCATGCCAATCATTCATGACGTATCCAGCAGGCAGGCAGGCATGTGTGTGTTATTTCAGCAACCTGAGCAGGCCATGACGAAATCTTGGTATACGACGTGAGGGGGTCGGGCGTCGTACTCTACCAGACGCTCGCTAAAGGCGAACAGCAGCAGGAAGGCATCACACGCAAACCAGTAGATCAGCGCTATAGCGATGCCGATCCGCTCTCTCGTGCGCCATCGCGCCAACACGGCCTGCTTCATCTTCATCGGGAAATGACCTGGCAGCCGCCCAGGTAGGTAGGTAGGCAGGTAGGGAGGGAGGGAGGGAGACACAAGGGAGGGAGGGAGGAAGGAAGGAAGGACACGCAACGGAAGGAGGGAAGGAAGTGAGGAAAGATAGATGACTCTACGGTGAGTGAGTGAGTGAGTGTCTGGCTGCCTGCCTGCCTGCCACCAGCCG